AATTCGCTATTTCCGGCGCAACTCAAATCCAGGAAATACTGGAAAACGCTAACCTCCTCGAATTGCAACAATAGCTTTGTAAGGTCACGCATTAGAAATGAATCAAGCGCTATAAAACATTGAACTGCGTTCGTGAACCTCATTGGATAATTCGATATCGTCCGTGAATCTCATTGGATAATTCGCTGATTGGTGGTTAGTGGTGTCGAAAGTTTAACTTCGCCTTTTATAGATAAGAATATATATTCAAAGCCTATGAAACGTGACTTATCATCCGCATCCAAGAAAATACTGTATATGAGCTTGGAATTCAAAGGGGACTTAGCTTCCCGTATCGTGAAAAGAAGGATACCACAGTCCCTGAAAAGAACATTGCCTGATGCATCTTTAAGAATAGCCTTTGCCAGTCGGTCGTAACTGTTCAATAACCTGAAGGACAAGATCCCGCCGTTGACCAACTCTGTTTGCATTTATCAATTCACCTACTCGTGTGGAGCAAGGTATATCGGTCGTTCGACTCGAGTTTTGTCCAAGAGGGTGAAAGAACACTATCCTGCATGGTACTTACGAAAAGGTGGAAGTGGAGCAAAAAGAAGCGCTATCATTGAACATCTGGTCGATAATGATCACCCTATTTCTACAGCCTCAGCCTTTAAAGTCATCTACAAGGCAAACAGTAATTTACCCAAATCACTACGTGCCCAATCCATCTGTATTCTCGGAGCTTTGGCTATCGAAACAGAGAAAGCCAATTCTCTGTGTATAAGAAAAGTTTGTTCAACCCCTACGACTTCCATTTCATCGTCGTAATCTCTCTATGCCAAAGTATGGTAATCCCTAATCACATTTTGGCTCTATCTATTCTGCGTTTTGTTTATTTAATTTGTATACTCTTCCTTTATTACGTCAATTGTTACTATTACTATTTTCACTTTGAACTGTCGCCGGTATTACTTCACTTGTTCCACGTGTCATTTTAAATCAATTCTGTTTTGCAGTGTTAAATTCTATGTTATCAAATCTCACACAATATTACGTAACATTTTTATTTTATTCAATTTGCCTACTAATCCTATAATTGCACACCCTTTCCAAGTCCCGTACATCCTATGAATTGTTTTGCCACTTGACATTTAATTATGATTATAATTACAAACATGTTAATTGCACCATACTACTACTATTTCATACATTCACACATATCATTCAATTCCCTCACCGGATATAATTTCTTAAAAACCATATACATATACGATTCATGGAAAATTCCCATTGTAACATTTAGAAAATCAAAACAAGTGATTCAGCGAAGAGACTCTTTTCAACGAATTTATCATCAAGCTGTACAGTCGTATATATATGGTTTATCAAAAGTTATATCCGGTGAGGGAATTGAATCTTAGGTGTGAATGCATAAAATAATAATAATAATCATATGAAGTTCAATTAAAACTAAAATGTTTGTGATTATAATTACGATTATAACTACGATTATAATCACAAACATTTTAGTTTTAATTGAACTTCATATGATTATTATTATTATTTTATGCATTCACACCTAAGATTCAATTCCCTCACCGGATATAACTTTTGATAAACCATATATATACGACTGTACAGCTTGATGATAAATTCGTTGGAAAGAGTCTCTTCGCTGAATCACTTGTTTTGATTTTCTATACATATACGATTGTACAGCTTGATAATAAATACGTTGAAAAGAGTCTCTTCACTGAATCACTTGTTTCCATAATTATCAATTTTAATCACACGGTTTCACATTTTTGTCTTTTATATATTTTCTCTCTTTGAGTCTCTCCAACTTCCCTTTATTGTTTGTTGCCAATTTTCATATCTCCGGTATAAGCGTTGCGTCATTTCGAATGCACGTCTGTGGTGTTGAATCGGTAAACAAAGCTTCAGTGATTAACCTCTCTCTCCACCTAAATACATTACTTGTTGATGCTCTCACCCTGTCCCACCCCACCTATTGTGTGATTACATGCAAGTGAATGCAGTGCAGTGCAATGGCTGAGTTGTCTTTTCTATCTTATTTCACTTAGGAGGGGCAATTATTCTGGGTCTAGCAAAATTTTTATGTTCCAATAACCTAGTTGACCCTAATCTACTAGTTTGACCTAAGTAATTGACCTCACAGCCATTACACAGCATTTGTTAATTAATTTTTTTGGTTAGAGGGTTTCATCATGACCTGATATTAGTTAGAGGACCATTGGAAAGCCACCTAGGAGTACTGGACGGCTGTTCCGTCCTAGTTTGGGACTCTTCAGTAGAACACACCCATCGAGGTTCGAATCCAGGACCTTCTAGTTACAAGGCGAGCTAGCTCGTAGGTCCACGGACCCAGATGGGTGCGTACTGATGAAGAGTCCCAGAATAGGACGAAATGGTTGTCCAGTACTCCCCGCAGGTTTTCCAATGGCTCCCTAACTGATGTCAGCCATGATGAAACTCTCCAATCAATCAAACACAATCCCTGCAAAATCAATACCCGGAAATATATTTTATTTTTCTTAATTGGCTCTATTGGGTGAGTCATTAAGCCGACAAAGTTTACCTCTGAGAGAGTTGTTTGGTTGGTTTAAATGCCAGCGTCATTGAGAATTCTATGTAAGGCTTCTACTAACGTCCCTTATTTATACGGCAGCACAACAGAGGCTTTAAATTCTGTATTATTTTCGTCAGTTTTATTACTAGTTTTAGTTTTTTCTATGGTTCTTCATGCATTTCTGAATAAATTCTGGGTGGGTAGTTATTCACTAGTAATATTTCCTTGATTTGTGTGTTATTATTAAAATAAACTTATCTAATATGGAATTACATTCTACTACCATTGTGGCCAAGTTTTACACTTACACTATTGAAGTGGAGTTATTTAAAGAAATCTCTTCCTATGCTGACTTATATGTTCGTAATTAACAATTGATGCATTAGTTTTAATGATAATACACGAAGGAACCTATGATGATGCTACAGTTATAAGATTTTCGTTACATTCAATACCACTCATAGAATTTCCGTTAACTACAAAGTAAAGTTAGCCTTTGGAAGAAATGGCGTAGAACAGTGCTCTTGTCCACTAAGTTGCATAATCCTGGAGGGGATGAAAGAGATGCACTGGATGCAGAACACCGTTCTCCACGCCCCGCCCCCCCCACCAAGCCGGATTCAGGAAAGCCAAATCATGTGCTAATCAAATTGCAACTCTACGTAGCATCATCCTCATCATCATCAGAGAACAAAGCATAGAGTGGTAGTCACACCTGTACCTTATCTTCATCGACTTTCAAAAGGCCTTCGATAGACGGTGTTGACCGCAAAGTAATTTGAAAATTACTTCAACATTATGGCGTGCAGTGCAGTGAGTGCCTAAATCTTTATCAACCTCATTAAACAGCTGGCTATATGACAGTACCACCACGTGTTAGGTTATGATGTACAACGGAAAACTCGATGAGACCTTTGAAGCGAATACAATAGTAAGTAAGACAAGGCTGCCCACTACTATCGCCGATGATATTCCTGATTGCGGTGGACTCGACTACGCCTTCATCAATCTGTAACCAGTTTGGAAATCTTCTGCACTCCGCCTCAGCGTAAACAACGAGATTAAGATTTTTAACACAAATGTGAAGTCAGTCAGTCAGTCAGTGCTTCTATAAGGGTCATAAAAACTTACACTGCGTCTTACGAAAAGGACTTCCAACAAGTTAAAGATGGTTATCGACAGCTGTCACCGTCGCTAGCTTTATATTAAATATCAAATGGCTAGAAAGAAGCAGCAAAAAGAAACTCTGACAACAAACCAACCAAGAGCCAATTGTTTAAGAAATATGTAGGAGAGAATGCAGATTGATGGGGCACACGTTGAGGAGGGCTTTGAATGACATCGTGCGCCTAGGCCAGTGCTCGAGTGGAGAGCGACGAGTGGGGTGTCCGAGAGTGGCAGGCGGAGATGTGAGAATATGGGAAATCAAGGGCCCAGCTAGACGAGACAGCAGAAAATACAACAAAGTGGAGATGTTTTGTTGAAGCCCTATGTTCCACTCGGAACCCAAGGAACCAATAATAATAAGACGGTAATAAGGCTGTATGTGCCTTTAATTTTTTATTGTTTTGAGTTCTGAATGGAACATCGGGCTTCAAGCTTCATTCTTGAAGTTTCAGTAGCAGTGGTGTTTTTTTACGGGGGCAAAGAAGTTGCTAATTACATTCACAACCTTCCCTCTTCACTCGGCTTACTGTCGAATAAATGAGGTCTAAGAGTGAGTCGGTTGGGGATCGAACTCCGGACCACTTGTGTGGTCGTCGAGCATTCATTCTACCGCTGAACCAACCACCGACGCACATCGGTGCCTTTAATATTGAATGAGAATATGGTTTCTTATAGATGCATACATACTCATAACACCTTCATATGATCTATTGCTGATGCTAGGGTGCATTCACATTGCTATGCATAAACGACTTGGTATGGGGCCGAGGATGTGCAGAATTTAATCTTTCACTCGAAATACTCTCATATGGTCACATGTTCGCAGCTTTTGCCAGGCAAGTCCTGTTTACAGTCTTCATGCGGCGGGGAGGGGGTCCTCAAAAAAGTGAATACCAACGTCTAGTGCTTACAATCGGACTGGTGGACAGGCAAGCTGGCCAACCCTAATCCCATATAATCTATGATGTGCATAGATAGGCTGCAGACTCCGTACGAATCGAATGGTGTATGAACACCTGTTGTGGTGTCACCAACCCACAACGGATCAGACTACAAGTCAAACACTCTCGGAGGGGCGTGCGTGGGCGGTACACCCTTAGAGACAATCACCTACAATATGTCAGCTCTCGCATAAACAAAATGTAATTTTCTACAGCGGATCTCTCCTGGTGAGCACATAGTGTACCAAGTTTCTGTTTTAGCAGGGTATACATAAACACCACGTCAAAAATATGCTCAAAGGGTATGACGACGACCATGATTATGATGATAACAGAAATTTAATTTTTTTTTAAACAGTCAAAACTTTTTAACAAAATGCCAAAGTATAACAAATTCGCAAACGAAAAAAAAATAATAATAATGATTTATAGTTTAAAAAATATGTAATCAGTGAATTCTGTGTTCAATTTGTTCCGTCTTCAAGACGAGCACGTAGTCGAGCTGCATAACCTGTAGACCGTAAATGATACGGTACTCGTTTAGATGATTGTTTTTTAGATAAATTTGTTAATGATTGACTAGTTTGATGATAGGCACTGTCGTTGTTGTCATTATATCGATTTGATGATTCACCAAATGGTGTTTTAACGAAAAAAGGTTCTCCTCCTCCTACTCCACTAGCAAGATAAGGATACGAAGGAGCAGGTATGTCTGAAAATAGTGAAGCTGGTGGTTTATGCTGAAGCTTTGTATTCGGATTACTATTCGTAGTAGATGTACTTTTAATTGAAGGTGTACCTCTGCGGCGTCTGCTGCCACCGCCTCCGCCTAGAGGTTTTCTCCCTCCTCCTCCTCCTCCTGGTGCTCCTGCCCCACCACTACCACCACCTGACGACGTAGCAGTAGTTGATAAATCAGTAGGGGGTATAACAGTCGGTTCTTTTGTATATTTAATCATTGGTACAGTTGTTGATAAACCTATCATTTCTTTTGTTATCTGAATAACATGCTCAAATGTTTCAGTTAACTTTTTTAACTTTAATGCATATTCAGGCGATAATTTCGGGATTCGATAAATTCTCGGCAGCCAATAACGTGATGCTAAACGAAATCTATGCTCTGGTTTCAATGTTTCGAAATCATTCACAAGATTATAAAATAAACAACCGGAGGGAAAAATTATCCAGTTAGGCAGAAAAGTAAGGCAAGTGGTGGTAGATTGTTGTTTATCGGATGGAAGTAATTGATCAAGTAGATTTGTTAATGATCTTAAATAAATATAAATATAATGAATAGCAGTCAAATGATGAACAAACGATGTATTGATTGATGATGTTGATGATGATTGTTCAGTTTCATTAGTATTATTGAGTTTATTTTTTAAAAAGCTTATCAATACACCATAATGCTGAACAGTTTCTTCATCAGATTCTTCGACATTAAAATAATTACAGACAGCAATAGCTGCTATACTCAGAACAACCGATGATTGACTAATATCACTGTATTCAATTGTGCCAGTTGACGCTTTATTATTCTTAGCACTTTCACGAAACCAATAGGCTAAGGTAAGCGCCAAACTTATCTTCCATTGGAATTCTGTATTGAAGTGTGTAAAAGAGATGCCTAGCAGACTAGCTATCAACTGATCTGTAGTATCTTTATTCACATTTAAAATCAATGGATCAATTTGTATACGAAAAGTGGTTAAAGTTTTACCATTGAGACAAAAATGCTCTAATAATTGTGATGATGAGGCAGCACCAGTTAATCCGATCAATTTTTGGCGTTGGGCTAACTGATGTTCAAGACCACAAAATATACGATAATGCATCCATCTTAATGGTAAGGCGATTTCATACACAGATGATGGTGACAGTGATGATGATGATTCAATCTGTGAACTTTCTCTCAATGGTAAAGGGAAGACAACACCCCCGTCACAATAGATTGGAGTAAGAATCAATGGTGCAAGTTTATGCCTCATGTATAACTGGAATAAACTGTCTGGCCATGCATGGATAAAATTGATAGTGCCTAGAATTATAGTAGATTTACCATGAACATCACCACCATCATCATTAGAATTGATTTTTAACAAATCATTGAAACGTTTCTCCCATAATTCTAATTCTTTATCAGTATTAGGCTCTTTAGAATGACTAATAAAATTAAGCTGGTCTAACTGACTTTCACTAATGGTAATACTATTAGATTGATTAATTAATAAGGCTAAATTCTTAGCCAATTGTTCATCAGGTATATAAGTTGTCATTACTTCTGTAAATATTTTTAAAATTTTACCTTTTTCTTGTAATGGATAAGTTTTTACAAGTTCATTTATCGGTGATTTTGGATTAGTTGTAAATTGTGAAAACCATGAGATCAGCGTGGATAAACGTCGAGTTTTACTATCTTTCTCATCTATACTATTCATAATAGGATAAAGATAGATAGGCAATTTTGTCTTCGGTAATGTATCACTTCCTAGAATTAAACCAATAAACGGTCGACAAACTGTATGAACACGTGATACGGGCGATGTGGATGGTTGAAATGCATGCGTTATTAGATAAGAATTTGATGAATCTTTTACCAGTGCTGGTGCGGCCGCGGTTGCTGCTGCTGCTGCTGATGGTGGTGGTTGCTCGTGCTGTTGTTCATTATTACAAGAAGTGGAATTATTGTCAGTTTCATAACTTTGTCGATAAATAAGTGACAATGGGATAAAGTAGGATGATGTATGCGAGTTACTTTGATGATAATTGACAAGAAAATATTCCGGTGAACTTCCGAGAATAGGATAATTTAAATGCGTAGCTAGTGAGATACAACTACGTATACGAGGATAGGGAGATTTTAATAGTTTCACCTCCATATCATTTAGTATATCGACTAAAACACTTTGAAGGAAACCAAGATAAGGTCGTACGGAGATTTTATGTATTTTAGTATCTTTTGAAGAAGACGATGATTTTATTAAATAGTCTATAGTTTGAAGTTGACTGGAAAGTTGAAAACCCTAGAGTGGGGGAGAAAAACACACGAAGTTTGACAAGATATAATAACACTTCAATTACAACATTATTATAATCCAAGTGTTATATAACCGTGACAGTGATGAAATTTGCTTTTAAATCAAACGAAGACAAAAATAGTGTGCTAATATATTGGGTATTGTACGTCAACCACATAAACCATGACACACCTGACTATGAAACTAAAAGACTTTGGGTTCAAGTCCCGCTAAGCTAACGAGCGTATATGCGTGACTGGTTCAATGATAAAACGTCAGTCAGCCATACACACAAGACGCTCAGGTCGAGTTCTTCACCGACGCACTCCTAAACAGGGCCCAGCTTACTCATTACGGGAAGATGAAAGTGGTATACATACAACCACTCATACAAATCAGTCAATAGTGTATATAGTATGACGCATGTAGACTTGCTTCCTTGATCACTATTCATAGTATCTCCCTGACTGGTTACAACATATAACTTTGCACAGATGTGCACCACTTCAAATTGCCACACTCCCTTCAATTTAGCACACAAATCAAGAGAAGAGAATAAAAGACATCGATAAACAGAGATATGAGGCAAAAAGAATAGTAATATAGAAGAACAATAGAATTTTCTTCGATATGATCAATTACAAGGAGTGAATGCATCTACGCCAGCCATTGACAACAACGATTTTGAGCCATATCACTAATTGTCTCCAGCTTTCATTGACTTTTAACGTCCCGACGACCCCAACCAGTGGGGAAGTCTACATCTCCCTACGTGGGCGGTTGGCTTAAATTAACTGTAGTGGATTTCATTGACTGATGAAGCCATGCTTTGGTTTGAACACTGCTGGCTCTTTTCCAAGAACTTGATCCATCCTATGTCAGTCAGCTAATATTGCCAGTTGTCGAGGAAGGCGATGACTAGGCATATGTGACACATCTTCTAACCGTTTCAGTCCTTGTAGCTTCACAACTTCGTTGATTGATTTCCCCTCCTTACCTAGAACTCGACGCCTAACCTCAATATTGCTCACCTTATTATGCCACTTTACACGGGGAATAGAATGCAGGCACCTATGATCAAAGACAGCTAATATTTCATGTCTTCCACTCTCAGTGGCCAGGTCTCACAGCCAAAAAGGAGGACGGAGCGGAGTGCTGAGCAGTACACCCGCCCTTTGGTTGATAGTCGGATATCACATCTACGCCAGAGACGGCGTCACACACACACAAGCTAAATAGTTAGTGTTACCAACGACCTGAAACACTGGTGGTAATTAATGAAGGCTTTATTCTATTATACAACTGAGGCATAATCCCTGAAAGAAACAGATATGAAAGTAATTGTCTGTAAGTGCCTTCATCCAGCTGTCTATGTGTCGGGTAGAATTATAAAACGATAGTGACACCAGGCATCGAGTATAAACACCAGGGAGGGAACGCCAGTCGATAAGGTTATTATGACGTATAGGCTGAGTTGTTACGCTCGGCAAGATGCCTTCCTCGGAGAACTTTAGATGAATTCTGATCAGGTGGCTAAAGAGTCGAGTTTGTCCGGGTTAAAAAGACGGCATCAATGCAACTCAACTCACAAAGTCATTGGTTGGATGTCGGTATTGGTGTTGTTGAGATACTTAAAAAAAATCAATGACTGTCATCGTTTACAGCAGCATAGATAAAGTGACGCTTTGTTATCTTCCTAAATATGAACAGCCTCAATTAAATTTTGATTTAATTATTCTTTTAGTCACAACCATGCTTATTTATTGTGGTATTATTATGTTTGCATTCCCAAATGTTATGTACTTCTAAGAAGTATGGCGTTTTCGGAGTGAAGCACTACTGTTCAGAGTTGTGAGTTTACTTGTCAAGCACAGTCATGCTGTAATGCTATAAATACAAATTTGAACAAAATCACTATTTCATGACATTCAATGATATTTAATCTAAAAAATGAAGTATTTTCCATACAAATAAATTCCCCTTCATAAGTTTGAAAAGAGATATAACAAGCATAAAGTGCACAAATAACATGGACCCATTTGATTCCGTTGATTCTTGTCAGCTGCACACAACGACAACCTGTAACACTGAATAAAACAAGTTATATATGGTTGGAGGCAATCGGCAGGAAGCCTTGGACCTAGGTTTCGTGCTAGTTGGCACTCGTCAGCAAGTTATAATACAATTTAAAAACACATTCTGTTTATCATCATCCATCATCATCAGAAGTCAGTCCTCTAGTAAGGATTATTCTAGGAAACTCACAGTGAAACAAAGCATGAGGTTGGTTGACTGCGAAGTAAGAGCGAAGTTTCCCGTAAAAAAACAACAACAACAACAACTGAACAACTTGTTTCTGGGGTGGTGATGGTAAGTCAGTGATAATTCCATAATCAATCAGTGATGACAAAACACAGTGAGTAGAACTCATAAGATGATTAGAAAGTCGAAATTCGGTGTGTAAAAGAAAATCAATGTAGACGGATTTTGATTAGCTGTTTGCCTTCTATTGGTCTAAAATACTCTGGTGAGAAGTCGTGACCAGCGAGGTCCATCCAGTCAAGTGTGAGGATGAATGTCCCACCGATGACGTTGGTTGGTGGTCGCGCTAAATTCATGGTTTGGTAGAAATTAGAATTCATGTGCTGGCCGTTTAGTCGGGTCCCAGTGGCTGTGAATGGTATACAAGTTCGCCTTGTAAACGACAGGTGCTGGGTTCGAACCCATTTGGGGTGGGTGCATACTGCCAATGATTCCCAAACTAGGATGAAACAGCTGTCCAATATTCCCTGCTGGTTTTCAATGCTTTTCTAACTGATATCAATTCGTGATCAACTCGTAAAACCAAAACTAATCCTTAGAAACCAACTAAAGAAAATCTAAAATAATTGTCAAAGCGGGAAGTTATTTTATTTTCACAACGGATAACTACAGACAGAATAGACAGTCGAATTAAAGACTTGCTATATTATAATGATGTGTGAATTTTTTTGGTGTGAGTGTAGAGTGATGAGTCACATACTATTTGGGTGCATTATTGGTTGTGACACTTCATTGAGGTGTTGTCATTTCAGTGACCTATGTGATTTCTGCTTACCAGGTACCAGGTCAATATAATTCGACCACTACTTACTAGGTCACGACAGTGGTATTTAAAATCATTTTGTTGTTTGTTAAACATTGTTAAACGCATCACATGATGTTACGAAATACTTCCAGGGATGCGAACATACGAGTGACCTTGAGCGGACCAATCATAAAAATCGAGGAATTTTTGCACAAAAATGACGTATATTTACAAGAAAATGCATGAAAACAAATTACACAGGATATATTTCTTTGACATGACTTAAAAATACGTCCCAGTTATAATGAGGAGTGTCAGTTACTAAGTTACACTAGTTTCTGTACACATATTCACCGAGATGACTGATGATGAGCTGTTTATGTGAATCGTTTATCTCTCTTATTCTTATGTGCAGTCTCCCCCCCCAAAAGCCCTCGGTTGAATTACTATGATTTCCAGTAAGAGGGTCGACGACCACTTACCCTAATCGTAACCCTAAACCTTAATCCTGACCATAACCCTAGACTTAACACTAACCCTAATCCTAATCATGACCCTGATCCTAACCCTAACCCCAATACTTATCTCAACCCTAACGAGCTATTAACACATTGTCTAAACAGTGCTTAAAAACGTGGAATTTGCTTTTTAGTAGTTGGTGATTAGCGTTGATATTTCAGTTATGATAATAACAGGTGCCGTTAGCCAACGACTAACATGCGTTCAAGGTCATTGGAGCGTTCGCACTCCTGGGACGCTATTGTTGAACTTCGCCAGAAAATCTTTAGATGTCAATGGCAAACGAATTCACGAAAACACATTACCAGTCGACGCAGGGATCCATCATGACCTTGAATCTGGATATACTGTCTTTCGTGTAAAAATTCGAACGAAAAGATGATGGTGATGTAATACAGTGAGTTGAATTCAAAGGATCAAAAAATTAAGTCTATTATGTAAGCCAGGAGGGAAGTGCAAGGACAGGGGAGCAGAGGGGCAGGAGGAGTTACAAGAAAAGGAATTACTAGGTTAAGAGTTATCAGGATAATTAAAGTCCCACGACGGACTCCTTTTTTCAAAGTGTACGCACGTCAGATTTCATTAATTTTAGTGAGACAGTCTTAGCAAACAATCCAAGTCTTCTTCTGTTTGCTGATGTGATCACAATAAAAATAAAAGGCGAGCGATAACTTGGCCTATATTCTGGAAAGGAATCCATCGTGAATTCAATTACCTTGATAACTATATATCCTTAGTGATTCCTTACCTCCTGGCTTCATCACTGTTTTTGCCCTATTTTTTGGGTTAACTTTTATATTACATCTAACTTTTGATCCTTTGAATTCTACCCACTGTATTACGTCATCGTTACCATTTTTTCGACTTCTTAAACACTGAATTTCGACTTTCCAAACATCTTATGAGTTCTACTCACTGTGTTTTGTCATCACTGATTGATTATGGAATTATCACTGACTTACCATCACCACCCCAGAAACAAGTTGTTCAGTTGTTGTTGTTGTTGTTTTTTTACGGGAAACTTCGCTCTTACTTCGCAGTCAACCAACCTCATGCTTTGTTTCACTGTGAGTTTCCTAGAATAATCCTTACTAGAGGACTGACTTCTGATGATGATGATAAACAGAATGTGTTTTTAAATTGTATTATAACTTGCTGACGAGTGCCAACTAGCACGAAACCTAGGTCCAAGGCTTCCTGCCGATTGCCTCCAACCATATATAACTTGTTTTATTCAGTGTTACAGGTTGTCGTTGTGTGCAGCTGACAAGAATCAACGGAATCAAATGGGTCCATGTTATTTGTGCACTTTATGCTTGTTCTATCTCTTTTCAAATAGGATTGTTTCTAAATAATGACTTTTGTAAACTGATAAAATAATAATAATAATAACAGTAATAATGATAATAATGAAAAGGCTTAAAAGCGATTACACTAAAGGAATATATGAAAACTTACAACTCTTTCACAATCGGATCCAAAAATAAACATAGGATGAATTTCACATTGTTTAATTTCACGAAGAAATTGTTTTAACTGTACAGCATAAGATAAATATTCTCCACCATAAGTGATAGATAACTTTTCATTTTCATAAAAATATTTACTAAAATCTTCTCCATCAATGATAACATGACTATTTTGTAATCTGCGCACTTTGAAACTTTTATAATCTTTTAGAAATGCATTATTCAATGCTGGAATAGGCATTATATATGTGATGGAGATAATAGGCGTTTTCTTTTTTTGAATGCTAGTGATTGGTTAATAATATTGATATGTAAATGTCAAAGTGTCGACCAGAAAACAGTAGGAGACACTAATCTAGAAAAGAGTAATAATATGAGAAGATGAGTTGAAAGATATACACGTATAACATGTGTAAGTAACAACGTGTTGTAATTCCTAATACGGAAGATGAAGTGTTTAGGTCATCAATTTAAATAATCTTGAGAAAATAACTGCACCAACCGTTATTTTGGCGGCATGTTTTTCATTCCCCTAAGACACTTACCAGTGTAACTGAGCAATGTTGTCATATAAAGAGGGTTAATTAGTTAGTTGCAATATAGCTACTTGTGCGTCGGTGGCATAGCGGTTAGGACGCTCGCCGACCATGAACATGGTCAGGGGTTCGATCCCCGGCCAAAGATGCACTCCTTTACCTCGTCAAACCAGAAATAATGCTGTTAAAGAGGAAAGCTTGGGCATGAGGCCAGCAACCTTATCCTATAAAATAAACACTGCTACAGAAACTTCAAGCCACTAGCTTGAAGCCCTATGTGCCACTGGGAACGTGAAGTATATATATATATATATATATATAGCAGATTCTTGTTGTACCATGTCACAAATATAATGCACACAGGTTTGTATGGGCTAAAGTAGGTGAAGTGGAACTGGAATCCCCAACTTAACTGACTGAAATTCGATTGTTTAAGTTGGTGAGAAACATCTGCACGAAAATCATTCGTATAGTATTTGAATAACATTTCTGCCGATTGCTTTCAGCCATCCAATCAAAATATTTGAATAACATTCGCAACACTTACAAATATTGATTTTAAAGGAATTTCTCTAACGTAACATGAAGGGTGGTTAGGACTCTCGCCCACCATGAACATGGGCCGAGGTTCGATCCCCTGCCGACGCACGCCTGATATCTATGGTCGGCCTGCAAAATTTGGGCTACCGATATCCATGCTGAAAATTCCATACTTGTACTGAAAATACAATGTGGAATCAAGCTGTAATCAAAAATACAAAAATCCATCCATCCAAGTTCCTTTTCAGAGAGATTTCTGACACTTGTTCACAGATATTATTAAACAATGTGAATATGCAATAATATAAAAGGGAGAAGTTATGAAAAAGAGTACTTCTGTTGTTCATTGGATTTCATTGGTGCATTCCTTTTATGGGGAAATAAAACTTGATTTGACATTAAAATTAGTCATAGAATGCACATGGATAAATTGAGGGTTAACTTGGACATGGGCAAAAGGTAGGTAAAATGTAATAAAATACCATCACTTTCTCCGCCTTACCCATTTCCTTCAAGGAACAAATTACCCAATTCCCACTTCACCAACGTTTTAAAGAAAGCGTTACCTACATCTGCGCACATGTCTTTTCGAGAAATATCTACCTTTTCCAATTTTTAACGGAATTCTACCTAAATTTTCACTCATTTGACACATGTTTACGAAAAGTTCTCCGACTGAGAAAGATTAATTTTAGTGGTTTTATTATTCATAGTCACCTAGAAAAAATAATTACTTCTTCCATAGACTTAAGTTTTTCTTGTATCTAAACTAGAATGTGATTTACATCATCCCAATTCATTAACGAAAAAGTTCACCGTTGAATGTCTACGGTGATAGAATATAACCTTAAATCCTTTGTCTCTAGTTATCAGTTGTACATGAAAAAATATAGCCGAGTTGCAGAAGACAATCACAACATATGAAGTTTGAGTGTCTCAAGAAAAAACATACACTTGTTATGTCAAATAAGAGATGATGCGACGACAACTGTGTGTCAGCATACGACGCAAAGATGAGAAGTAAACCTATAGAACACATTGATAATTAAATTCATTTTGGAAGTTAAATGAATCACAATGAGCCTGCAGCTGAAGCCAGGTACGCACCAGCGACAACGATATGGCATCTGACTATCTATTATAGAGGAAACATACTATTTTTAATCCCCCTTTGTCAGAAACAGTTGGAAGATGCAAATCTTCGATCACGATTTTCCTTAACATACTGCATACTGTCACATATGGAAACGGATTGTTTCACTTTGATGTCTAAAGAAATAACCATTGGCATTTGCAACAGCAAATATACTGGTGGTATCAAAATATGTAACTTTTGTTTGAAGGACTACTGACCAATTAGAAATGCGTTAGATGTTGCCCGAGGGCCACATGAAATAGAGGTCTTGACACTGAAAGATCAAGAGATGAAAAATAAATGTTACGTAAGGACTTTATCCAGTAGTAGGGAAATGGCATAGCCTAAGTGTTTGATAGTACAGACACCTTTGAGGAAAGATTTGCTGGCGATTGTAAAATCGAGGAAAACAAATCAACACACACTAACCACGCTAAACACTATACCATAGACAACCATAGTTATAAAAATTGTCCACATATCATAGTTCCCATTGGTCTGACGACTAAACGTCGTTTTCATGCTCAAATGAGTGCTGTCTACCAAATCGAATACAAGACTCTGGGGAAGGTCAATATGGAAGACAAAGAATGTCTGGGGAATGCAGGAGAAGCAGCAGATTTTCCAATTCCTTCATTTAGAACGATAGACTTCGACAATGCATATATATATGCATGGGTATTTGTGTGCAAGCATACCTACATATGAATGCCCACGATTACAATAATGCTGAAGTGGTGCTGGCAAATTCTGAACTGGCACCTTTTTACCATTATGAGTGAAATGAAATGAACTGATACGCCGCACAAACCCAAACAGAGGATTTTGGAGTATCTCAATGCAAACATTTTGGGGAAAACATCCCCCCCCCAAAAAAAACACCGAAATTGTCACATTTTTTTATTTGGGATATACCATTGTGCTGTTTCCCGACATTATTTACAAATATGTATAGATACAATAAATGTGTACACAAATTTTGAACTATTCTGGGGAACCCGGAGAATTCCTGGGGACACACCTATACTTTGGAGCAATCCACTAAGATTTATCTACCTAAAATGAACCCACTATGTACTGGATTAACGCTGACCGTTCTTAAAAAGAGCACTGGACGCTTAAATAATGCAATGAAGCCCAAAGAAATAGGATGTGTACCTGAATTATTGCCTTTAGGTGCTGAAATAAAGCTGAAAAATTGTCACTATCCACTGAATTCATTCTTTTTGTTCTGAAGTAATGCCAACCAATGCTGAATTTGAACTGAAACGGCTGAAATAGTGTTGATTAGCAAACACAGGAGCTTCTGAGCTCATGATGAAATCCTCCAAGCAATCGGACAAAATCCCTACAAGCTAACATTTCTGAAAATGGCTGTAGCCATTTTCAGAAATGTTAGCTTTTTCTATAGAAAAAGCACAGGGTGCTGAATTAGCGATAATCATACTAAAATTAGCAGTTTCCTGGTCTGTGCGCATTATCAAACAATTTTAGAATAATTTCAAAGCTTAGTCATGGTAAAATTTTAGAGTTAGTTTAGAATAGTCTGAACTAATATCAGTGAATTCAGCATTATATTAAGTTTGAGTTTATTTCAGCATATACATGCTTATATGACCTGATTAGCGTACATTTTATGCAGATATTTGACTTCAGCTTGTAAAATTAAACGTCTCTGCATTCCCCGATAAAACATGCGGAACTCACACAGACTTCGAGGGACACCTGGTTTGACCGTCCCTAACCTTGAGAAGCCAAATTCCCGCCTATGTCTGTAGTGGGATAACTTCTCGACTGAGTACAATGATAAAATAAATCCCTTGATGTGGAGACAACTTAAATTGGCTGAATGAAATCCTTATTAGTTGAATCTGTTTCGAATTTTGTTTAAATGAGTATTTATCGAAGCACTCATAACCGTCAGGTTTGAGCATCTACTGGAGTCGATAACATACGTAATCTCTGTGTCTTTAGGTCGACTTTAACAAATCCGAAAAGTCAAAAATCCTATAAACAACCTTAACTCTTCTTAAGCCGCATATGTTACTCATGAACTTTTCATTTCCAGTACTTGCTAAATGTGTGGGCTGCTGACTGATTCTGAACATCACTTTAGGTAAGACTTATTGTTAAACGTACAGTATTTATGGGTATTCCTTCCGTATCCTGATTCCATGTGATCGAAATTTTTCCTCCGACATCATCGACCCTACAGGTGGCTGAAAATTTAACTTTTCAGGCCTTATTTCTGTGTAGTTTTAGTATCTAATTCATCTGAGAGCAGCTTGTATATACCCATAATTTTACGTTGCTTATATCTGAGAAATCATGTCAGAACTTTACTCAATTTCATGCTGCTAGAAGACTAAATGGAAGCGTAAGGGTGAAGAAAGTGTAGCAGTAAAAATTTCCTCAAAATTATTAGCCTACAGCATTCATCACTCAACATTGGATGCCGATCCCGTATAAGTCGACTTGTCTAACCGAAGTCTGGCGGTCGAGCGTCCAACCTATTTGGCACGCTATCGTGTTACGTTCGGCTGTTCGTGCACGATCCATTGATAGTTGAGCAGCATGTTTTGAAATATACTTGGTATTTTGGATGGTCAATTTGGTGTTTTAATTTGACATCGACTTACAAGGAACAAACGCTAAAGGAGTTGTGGGTATGAGATTTTGCGTTAGGATATGTCACACTGTCCGTTCACGTAAACATACCCTCAACTTCAAAACTAGTGAGCCTTACCACGAAATTCATATTCAATAAGCACGCAGACTGCCAGCCAAGTCTCATAAGACGTCAGTGTCCAGTCCTTGCTACTCTGGACCTCACGCTGCCCCTCGAAGAATTCCGGGAACACTTTGTATTAACCAACGCGAAAACCAGAACACTGATTGGCGACTCAAGAATCCTTTAATCTTAATCTAACATGCAGCCAACAATAAGGTTATTACACAAGGTCTAAGAATAAATGTTATAACAATAAATTTCACCTCAATCGTCCTCACCAACCCATCACCACCACAGGGTAGCCTTTCTGCCACTCCCAAAGGCCATCTACCTGTGGCACATTTATCCGCTACTAAAACTATATCACCAACCTATAAGTTTCTGCACAAATTTTTCATTTGTCTCTGGTGTGCAGTGTTAGAACATGCTTCTTTAACCATCTTTTCCAATATATATCTTTCATGAGCCTGGCTTGTTTCCACCTTTTACTCGTAGGTGTTCGTTCTGCGCTCAAGTCCTCTATGCCGGGGTTGCCTCTCAATAACAATAATTTATTTGGGGTTAACACATCGAAATCCTTGACGTCGCCCCTCACAGGTGATAAAGGCCGGTCATTTAATATTCGTTCAGCTTCACAAAAAAATGTCTCCAGCGTTTCGTCATTCAAACTCTGGTTTTTAATTATGGAGCTTAAAATACGCTTGATAATTCCTATAAGTCTTTCCCATAGCCCACCTCTATGGCTGGCATGTGGTGGGTTGAAGTGCCACTCGATGTTCCTTTTCAGTAACTCTTCCTGAACTCTCGTTTGGGGACCTTCGAAGTACTCTTTAAGCTCGGCGTGACAGCCAAAAAAATTAGTCCCTCTGTCGCTGAGCATCATCTTCGGTGCACCCCGGCGATTTATAAATCTATGTAATGCTAGTACGAATGAATCAGCAGTTAACGGATGAACCATCCCAATGTGCGCAGCTCTCATTTTCAAACAGGCGAATAGACAGCCATATCTTTTACATAGGGTTTTGCCTCTCTTCACTACAAAAAGTGCGAAGAAATCCATTCCGACGTACTAGAATTGATAATTCCCTTCAGAAATTTGCCACGCTGGGAGTGGTGCCATCATCTGCTGTGCTGAGCGAGCATTCGGTAGTTTACATTCCATGCACATATCACTGATTTTACGGACAGGAGTACCTCTCTTCACTATCCAAAACTTACATCGAATACTTGATAGTACTTGTGAAGAACCCATATGACCTTCAAGAACATGATAGTGTCTTATAATGAGATCAGTAACTGGATGGTAGCAAGGTAATAAGGCCGGATGACGGGTCTCATATGACGATTCTAGTATTTGTAGTTGTCCACCAACTCTAGCGATCCCTTCGGAAACTATCGGAGATAATCTATCTAACCGCGCCTTGAAATCTGCGAAATCGGAACTATCTTATTTTTCTATTTTATTTTTTTTATTTTTGATTACAGCTTGATTCCACACTGTATTTTTGGTACAGGTATGGAATTTTCAGCATGGATATCGGTAGCCCAAATTTTGCAGGCCAACCATAGATATCAGGCGTGCGTCGGCAGGGGATCGAACCTCGGCCCATGTGCATGGTCGGCGAGAGTCCTAACCACTGTGGCACCGACACACACAATCCTCAGCAATCTCACCCCACGCTTCCCACTGAGCAGCCCTCAAAATCGCTAACTCTGCATTCTAATATCTTCGGCTCTCAAAGGTCCCACATTCATGTTATCGTTTCCTGCAAGATGCATGACATTTAAATAAGTAACATATCGCGCCAACCGCGCAACAGCCTTCAGTAGTTTGTACCAAGAAGAATAATATTTAAAAAGTGGATGTCAACCCGAACGTCTTTCTTGGGTAGATGTGAAACTGACACTTGTTTTAAACTCCAAGACACACTCGCTTATCGGTGGTTCATCTTCTCTACTAGGCCACATACTATCAGCCCTTAGCGAGAGCTCTGGACCTTTCCACCACTTATGTTTAACCACATTCATATCAATAACTCCTCGCGAGGCTAGATCAGCTGGATTTTTCCAGATGGTACGTACCTCCACTGCTCAACAGTTGTTAGTTCACGAATTCGAGATACTCTGTTAGCTACAAAAAATGCATATCTTGCTGACTCGTTGCGTATATAATATATCACAGACATCGAATCAGTCCAAAACGTTACGGGATACTTGGGGTAATCCAACTCTTTACACACCGTTGTGAATTACCACGCAGCTAGCAAGGCTGCAGTAAGTTCTAATCTCGGAATAGAAATCGTCTTTAGGGGTGTAACTCTAGATTTGCTTATCACTAGGCGAACATTTATATCATCCCTTAAGGTGGTTCTGACGTAGACGGCTGCTCCAAATCCAACCTCAGAGGCATTAGAAAAAACATGGAAGTCAATTATATCATGATTTCTCGATGTCTTAAGTGGACGTGAAACGGGATGTAGATCCAGCGTTCTTAAACTGTTAACCCACCTTTTCCACTTTTCTCTCTGCCTCTCACTTAATGGTTCATCCCACTGTAACCCTTTCCTGCATGTCTCTTGAAATAACCTCCTAGCCGGAAGTAGATAAGGTGCTACTAACCCAAGTGGATCAAACACGGACGACAACACAGAGCACACCTCTCCGTGTAACTGGCCTATCAATATCACCAACACTGAATCCAAAGGTACCAGAGTTCACATCCCATCGCATACCTAATGTGCGTTCAACTAGTAGAGTATCAACAGATAAATCCCGTACAGTAGGTAACCTATCTTCTGGAACTACATGCTTCAAAACGTCCAGGTTGTTCGAGGCCCACTTAGTTAAACGAAAGACAGTGTCAATCACGTCTCATAAACCGTTAATGCCCAGCTCTCGCTACGCTCGGGCCCACGCTGTTCTTCGAAGATTTCTCAGAAACGCTTAGTTATAACGGACGAAAAAACCAAAACACCGATCTGCCGTTTGATATTTCTGTATTGTTACACCAACATATAAAAGGAATAAGCGAACTAAGGTCTGAAAACAAATATTACAATAATAAATCACTGTATTACTTCTGACGATGTTTCACTCTTCTTTCTGAACAGCGACCGATGAGACGATGACTGTCGTATTGATGCCTCCGCGAAAATTGGGGAAGTTGATTTTGAGCAAACAACCAAGAATTGATCGTTCAATCTTCAACTCCATTGACACTCCCCGGCAAAAAAGGGATCCAACCCTTTTTTCTCACGACCAATGCACGTTGACTTGGATGCCATTGCGAGAACCTGGGTCACACGGACAGAGCTGAAATGGAAAACAAACAGAAAAGCCAACACACCACAAGCATACCCACAGCACAATCTCACACATCAATGACGACCTGCGCCTCCAGACAGAGACCTCCTCTTGACATCTTGCAACACAATCGCCACTTGCTAGAATGACTCTTGCAGAATGCAAAGTGACCATGGCAGCACCTCATGATACTCTACGCACATCCTCTTATCTACTCACTACCAATTACCACTGAAATCGCTTGTCACTCATTCTGCCTCAGTTCTAGTAGCGGTGACGCATGCGAGCCTCAGTCGTTTACACTCTTTCTCCCCGGCGTGTCGGACCGCAGCTAACAATTATCTCCGTGTGCATTTCATTCTCAGCAATAGCCTAGCCTCCCCGGCGTATACGACCCATCTGCTGTCCTTAACATCAATCAATTCATTCATGGATGTAGAAGAGTGGACACAACTTCAGAAGTAATCACGACGAAAATTTTAACAAAATTACGCAATAAAAACAAGGTACGAAAACAACAAGTAAACACAATGAATACAAAAACACCAATTGATATGACACACCACACGTATATACAAACAGTACACACAAACTCGCAGATCATGTCTTGATGGAATTCCTTTGAAGAATTGCAGGACTTACACCAGTACGCCTACAACCCTTCTCAGGTTGACGATTGTAAGTTGTGGAATGTCCGGACACAAACAAGATTAACCAACAATTACATCAATTGGAACTCACACAACTATTTAACACAAACATATGTACAATCAACACATCAAATGTTGTGGATTCTGGCGACAAACTACCCTTGAAGAACTGTAGGACTTACAGCAGTACGCCTACATTCCTTCTCAGGTTGATGATCCAAGTGGAAGTCGTCCGGACACAAACAGAATTACCAACAGCTAGAT